CTTTAAGTGTGTATGAGTGTGCGTTCGAATGTGAGGTTGACCAATAAATTTTACTAAATGCTGAATCAGCATGGCTGACAGGCATTTGAATGGATCGTAGACGTAATTAAAAAAGGCCTCAAATGAAACTATTGAGAAACAAATATTTTTCCGCATTTTTTCACAATAAACTTTTAAACGATCTCTGAGCAAATATATGACACGTGAAGTGTTAAGAGTGGCTCTGAAGACACCATCTATGTATGTATCTACTTATGTAAAAAAAAAAGTTTTTTTGCTTTCCACTCACCTGCTTGCCAAACGCGGGCGACAGTGACGGCGGTGGCGGCGATGCCGTACTAATGCGCGTCGGTGGCGTGTAGAGTATGCGATGCGATTCCATATTCAAGCGATCGAATGCCTTCTCCTCCAAATGAAATTCGTCCTCACTATTCGCCTCTTGAGGTACTACATCCGGATTTTTATCCTCCAAACTCGAATGACTGCCCAAATTGCGCGACAGCGGTTCGGCGCTGCCCTTATCCGCATCCGTTGTAGTGGTATCACTATTCGGACGACGCGTTGTTTTCGGACGTACACGCAGAAAGATTACTATGCAGATGGCTATCAGCACTACCGTACCGAAAATGCCCAGCAGTGCGCCGAGCAGTGGTGTAAGTTGTACCAGTACCGCTGTAGAGGAAGCTGTGCGCAATAGTGGCGCCGATAGTGTGCGTTCACGTACTCGATACGCCGATTTACTGGGACCCTGCGCATTCACCGCCGTGATGCGTATCACGAAGACCGAATCGCTGGGTAGTCGCTTCACTGTGAAATCGGCATACTTGTAAGAGGTGTTGTAGAGTATTTGGTTGGTGAGCTCGTCCTTGACTTGCACGTGAAAGTGCTGCGGTATGCCGCCATCGTAGCCGGGCATGCACTGGATTTGTATGGAGTTGGCGGTGGCGTTGTAGGCCGTGCAATTCTTCACTGGTTCGGGGAAGTCTGTGAGAAGGAAAAATTAAAAATAAATGCAGTTGAAGATAAAAAAAGGTACAGCTGAAACTTTAAAACTATTGAATGATGCAAACAGAAATCTCTAGACTCACTTACTCGGACACCTTAATAACTGCTGCTCTCCTTAAATAACAACAAAATCATCGACAGCTCGAGCGCACAACTAAATCATGCAGTAAGCTTACACTCAAATATGTGCCCAAAAAAATTCGCACAAAATAAACGCCTACATCGTTTAAGCCAAGGCGCACTTGAGCGCAACGCTGCTTGGCAGTTGCCAAAGTCACACTGCCTTTTAGGGTCAATAGCGCACTTGAGTGTGGCACAAAAAGCACGTCGAGTGATGGCTGAGAACATCTGAGCAACATTGCTGCCTACACATGCCACTGCCATCGCATGCCACACGGTAGTATATTAGATGCCTTGCACCTTAAACCATAAATGGTTAAGCGCAAAAAACAAAGACTGCTGCCGCCCTCCCCCTTGTTTTGCGGCATGCAATTGCGGTTTTTTGTTGTTTATTATTGTGTTTTACTTTTATTTCTCTAAGCACACTTAAGAGCTACTGCGCTTGAAAAAGATAAGCAAAAACAAAGTATGTACGTAGTTACGCAAAATGCAGTAAAAGTGTGCTTTTGTGTGTGTGTATGAATGAAGAAAGAAAGTAAAACAAAAAAGCTTACAAGTAGATAGACAAGCAGTAAAATTGAATCAGAAACCGACAAAACAAGCAGGAAAGTAACCGCACCAACAAGTAATGGCGAAGAATGGCAAAAAAAGGTATACATATACATGCATACCTAGAACTGAGTACGTGCTAGTGTGCGAGCAGAAAAACCAAGTAAGAAAATAGCTCATCGGAAAAGCCACATATAAGTGACTGGGACTCCCTACAGTAGCTTCCTTGGGAGACTCTTTGAAAACCACGATTGCAAAAAATCCGAGTCATAGAATGAAATATTAGCTAGAAGATCGAGAACATATTGAGTAGGTAGAGAAAAATGCCTATGTGAGGTACTCCTGAGGATAGTGTGCTATGTCCTATAGCATGGGACAAACATCTACTTTGAAGTAGGTCGAAACCCATTAGGGTTGTTGCATAGATACGCAGATGGCCTAGTTATCATGGACGAAGGGGATTCCATATCGACGGTCAGTGAAATATGCACTACAGCCTGCATTTAACGACGGGGCAAGTGGCCAGAAACGGATAGTCTGGTGGTTACCCTCTTTATGGTTTCTAAACTAGCTCTCACTAGAGATTTTTCGGGTATTATTTCGACTCTAAATTTCTTGGAAAAGAGAGGAAAATGAACTCTACAGCAGTAGTTAGAGCTATTTACCGCGATGGACTAATAACAGGCGGTTGACTCCAAGTCGTGTTCAGTATGGCTACCGTCTCAAACGACGTTGTAGGTACTTTTGGACAATCTACCTAAAGAAATCTATGTGAAAAGTGAGCTGCTCTCAGACATAGGATGGAAGCCATGGATCCATTCTGGACAGGGTCTGGGGGGTGTAGAAGTTGACTTTGACTTTAGCTTCGACATTTACTCTCCTGATAGAAGTGAGTGGGAACTTGGTATCATTCTAAGCGATGACGAAATAAAAATACGTATCATACGTACGATCGATCCAAAATGAACGTTGTATCATAAGCTGTTTTTGAGAGAGGTTTCTAGACTACCCATAACTGCAGATTATTCCTAGCTAAAGATTCGATCAATTTCTTTGGAGCGTGGAAGTATGCCGATACGGTGATAATTCGCGAAATAAAGATGCAGGTAAACACGCGATAAAGCAATTTTATTTTTCAGAGTTGAGGAAAGAGCTAGAGCGGCTACCAAAAATAGGTGGACGAATCTGCATACTTGTACTATTCGCCGCGACTGTTGTTCAGTTTCTTACTGAAATCGGTGGCCATATGACCGCCAGATTTAGAAATTTGCTTAATGATTTTTGTAGAAGCTATATACATATGTGAGAAAAAGTTATAATCTATTCCATTAATTTTCCCATGCGAATCTCCAAAAATTCGGAGGCAAATAGAAGCGTATCTAATTTCTGGAGGGCCACTTTTTTGAGACATTAGACTTGTGAGGTCTCGGGGTGCACTCGATCTAGAAGCAACCCAGCCCGTATGATATAATGGGTGCTTATCGCCATGCCTGACGAGAAGACAATGATGTCTATTAGGAAATGCCAGCGACCAGTAAGCTATTAACTTGACAGTCATATGTAATGTGGCTTGCATGAGGTCAGGTGTCGGTTTCCAACTGGGAATGTATGCGTGGCTACACTCTAGTGCATATAAAACAACAAAGTAAAAGTTATCGTAGGTATACCGAGAAGTACTTAGATTTTACCGCCTTTCTTTTATTTTACTTGCATTCTGCGGCTGGCTGCATTCCCGTAGTTGTAAAATGTACTTAGTTTGTTGGCGTGTTGTTCTGTTAGCTAGGCAAATACGCTTTCAAACACGCGCTTAGACACACACACACACACGAAAACTCCCATAGATGCATGCGTTTATTAAGCCAATGTAACACAAAGTTTTTATTACAAAGTGTTTGTTTTTTGTTTACTTTATTCGTTCTTTTCTTGTCCATATACACTCTCCCCCCACACAATTCGCTTCTGTTACAAAATATGTAGCAGTAACCCCCTAGAAACCAACACTTGTGGTCACTTGAGTTGTTAGTCTTAATTATCAAGGGTAGCTTGACTTGTACGCTTGCTTCGGTTTCACTTTTTTTTTTTTTTGTGAACAACACCTCACTTGGAAACTTACGCATACAAACATTGGTTTTTATTTGCGTTGGTTTGATAGTAAATATAAAAATAAATAAGCGGCGCTTTAAAAAAAGGGTTGCGAAACGCTTGATGCAAAAAAGCATAACAGATAACTGGGTGTTGTGAAGAGTAGGGAAAAGTGCTAGTTTGCCATCCAGCAACTTTGATCTTTGGAGAAAGAAAACGATAAGAAACTAGGTTAACTGCGATCAGTTAAATGATGGCTATGATGTGTTTAACTACACACACTCGGCTTACTCAGATGAAACAATTTCTTTAGAATCCTTTGTAAGTTTTTCTAATAAAAAATATAGCTTTTTTTCTCAAGTGGCTTTTGAAATTTATATGTCCTTTTTAAGAACAAAGTTTGTGTTTAACGGGCAGATACATTTTAACATTTAACATAATATATTATTAGAAAACGGCCCTTATGACGAAAAAGTCTCAAATCTGCAAAATGGAAGTCACCTAAAAGTTAATTATGAGTTAATTGATCACCACACTTTGGAAATAAACCTCTTTTTTTGGAATTCACTACATATACGATCGAAGGGAAAGGCTTTTTCTGAAACCACTGAGCTACAGTTTAGTGCCTAGTAAGGAATTCATGGAATTTGGTTTTTTACATGACTTTAAAATATACTCAAATTTTGACGAATACAGTGAGGGCTTTATTTCCTCTGCGCATTTCAACTGGATAGGGCGAAAGTTCTCCAAGGTTCCAAAGAAATAATCCTCAAGAAATCTTGTATTCCGGTCAATAAGGGGATATGGAATAAAATGAAATCCTTCTTAGCAGGGCCGGCAAGAGAAAATTCGGGCCCGGACTGGAAAATCACCGGCCCCTATACAAAAATTGTATTAATTTAACGGTATGTACTCCTAAGCGAATTGTAAAGGAGGTCAAAACCGAGAAATCCCTCCTATTGCTCTGAAATCAGGCCAAAGGGAGTACTCTTTTATTCCTCACGTTGGGAGATCGCCCTTCAAGTTCTAGTGGGTGATAATTTTCTTGAATGTATAGAGTCAGAAACAATCAGCACGAATCGGGATATATTTATAATAAAGGTGTATAACGAAGGAGCCATTATATTGTAAAAAAATAATAACAAGTTATGGTTCTGATATTTAAGGCCCCTTAAAAGACCTGGACCTGGGGGGATTCACCCCTTTCCCCCCTCCGTCTCGATGGGCCTGCTTCTTAGTAAGTCGTCGTTCTTGAAGAATAAAATTTGGGGAAGGTGCCAATCACTTTTTAAGCAATTAAAGAACGGCTAGAACACCACACCTACAAGCCAGAAGAAGAGGCGATGCAAAGGACACATGATGGTAGAAACAGGATGTACGAAACCTAAACTATTAGTGAAATCGCTGATGGCACGCTATCCGTTAGCAGCTCATGAATTGAAACTTATTACGGATGAAAGGAGGAAACCACTGAAAATAATTACGGGGTTCACTAAGGGTCGTATTGTATTACGTCAGAAGTTTTTTAGAGGTTGAATAAAATTTTAAGGGACTTGAAACCACCACTAACCATTGTTTAAGTGTGTGAAATTTAACAATATAACTTTTATGATACCTTGCGATCCCCTAAATATATCTTCAGCTGTTTAACGTTTACGACATAAAACAATACGACATTTACTACACCCTTTTGAATACCCCAATAATATGCATGCACATAGTACGCAGCGGAGTGCTACTTAGAGTTCTCGGAGAGGTACAGCTTCAGAGTCTGGAACTAGTAATAAATAAAGTATCAAGCAGAATGCTACAAACCATGAAAGGAACCAAAAGACGTGGTTTTCTCACATACACCGAAGGTTCGACAGATTTCGAGAGATTTTGACAAGTATAGAGACTTTTTAAAGTTTTAAATCTATTTTTAATATACAGATTAACTCAATTTGTCAAGTGTTTTTCTGCAATGAAATTCATGCAAAATTGAAACAGAAATTCTTACAATTGATTTATATCTCAAAAAGTGATTAATCAAAAATTTATGGACATTGCCAAATTGCGGTTAGTTCGGCAATAAGAAATACATACATATGAATATTGCACTTGACAATTACATGACATTCTTCATTCGGAGTCAAGTGCATGGAAGGCAAGGCAATGTAAAGCAGAAATAAAGCAAAAACCAATAAAGCAATAAACTTCTAAGTATCTCCGGGCAAAGAAAGTACAGTAAGCAATAAGCAAATAATAACAACAATAACAATTTTTAGACGAAATGATAGTTTTCAAATCACTTGCTAATTTCGCCTAGCAACCATCAGCAACATCAGCCAGCACTAAGAGGAAAAGGACGACAAGGACAATGACACTCTCGAGCGATAGTCCGCCACATGGCCAACCATGGCGTGCCGTTGCTGCCATAAGTGGTGAACAGTATTCTCAATTTGTGAAATTGCCAGCAAAAACTGTGAATTTTAAATTGTAAATATGCAAAATGAAAACAATTTGCAGACAATTGCTGCATATGCTGGAAAATGGAAATAAGTAAAAGTACATACATACATACATACATATATACGCAGTAGTTAGTAGAAAAATTCAACAAAACAGTTAAGTCACTGCAGTACTGTTGCAGTGTTTGTTGAATGCTTTCCGGTGTGGAGATACATTAGGGTGGTGCTTGAATTATAAATAACTAAATTTTGTACGAGGCACCCCTTTTACTTTTTTCTAGGTACAAAATAAATATGTTTATTTATGAAAATTTTAAAACAATTTTTATTTTTTTTCCGTTTTATTCCGACCAAAACAAGTTCAACGCGTATATAATTTGTCTTTCTAACCAAGTACTGTTTAGTATTGATCAGACTTGTCAGTTTAGTCATGAATCATACCACGAAAACACACAAACATATTACAATCTGAAAAAAAAAAAAAAAAAAAAAAAAGCGTTTTGAGCTCAGGAAGTCCACATAACTCTCCCCTGTATATAAGTTTTTCGTTATTTTTTCAAGACAAATATTTGTAAACCAGCGTTACAGAACTGCTGCACTTATTTAAAAAAAAATTTGGCTTTTCAATAATAATATAAAATTAGAATTTTGATATTTTAATGATCACCCTAAGAGATACATTTACATAGATATGTATGTACACACAACAATTACTGATGACATTTGCACAATTGAATCAGAGCACAAATGAAAGAGACAAGAGATTTGATGGTCTGCAAGTGTGTTTGAGTGCGTGAAGTTTTGCGGTATGCATGTATATGAGTGCATCAAAGATAAATATTCATGCTTTGAAAATTATCTTTATGATCTACTATCATAAAAACTGTACTAGAAAGAAAACAGTGGCCAAAGAAATCTTAAGAAAATGTAGAAAGTTATGAATATTGAAGAAGATTTTCCAATTTTTATTGTTCTTTTTTTGGAGTTAAAGAGGTTTCTGTAGAACTTAAACAACAAAAACTTAATAAGGTTTATTTTAAATTTTCGTAGTCGCCCATTGTGGCTGATTGGTTAGAGGTGTAGTCTACCACTCCGTAGCACCTGAGTTCGATCCCTGGTCCGAAAAGTTCTTTCTAACATGGACGCAGTTCGGCAGGTTATACCAAACCTCCGAGTGTATTTCTGCCTTGAAAATATTCTCACAAAAACCATTTGCCATTTGGAGGCTGCGTAAAATTGTAGACGTTTATCACAAATTGGAGGAGAAGCTCAGCCAAACACTTTGCAAAATTTTAAGCGCCAAAATATATATATTGCACTGCAGAACAAAATTCTGTTGAACAAAATATTTTAGCCGATTTTTATAGGATTTTTTACCGTAGAATCCGAATTTGGCCGTAAATATATTGGATTGGCTCTAGTTTTCGAGCAACTTAGGTTTAACCATACCACTTGCACTCGAATCGGCATCAGACTTGATGCGCCAGTTTGGGAATCTCCCTTTCAGTCACTTCGGAATACTTTATAATTTTAGTCATCTGGGTGCCACGACAGCACTGTTGAAAGAACTGGCTATGAATGAAGCCTTGAAGGCGTCTCACTGAGTACTTATTGGATGAATAGGACCAATTTGAATCAGAGAGGGGTGAGGAAGTCTGTACGGCCCACAAAGCCGTAGCTATCCCTAATTCTGATAGTTTTGAAATATCGTAGAGATTTTGCTGTTATAATCTGAATAGCCACAGCTATTTGAGGGATGATGAGGTACAATCAACTCTGTATTTTTTGGAAGCTGTTCCGATTTTACGAGGCTAGCTTTGAAACATCTCGTTTCTCATGTATTTCTCAAACAACCGTGAGAAACTTTCTGGTAATTAGCTGAATTTTTCGGGGTGGCATTACTCACTGGGATATTGAGAAAACCGCCAAAAACCTACCGATGGAGTCTGAGTATGTATTAAGTACGAGTTGGCACCGCATTAGCTTTGAAAACTGGTGTGAGAGAATGATTAATTTTTAATTGTGTGTGCTCACGTCTATGCCACTTATATGTATTTATGCCTATGACTAGCGTGTGTAACCCACAATTGACGTTCTGACATAACTTAATTTGCACAAAAAAGCTCCACATGGCATAAGTGCGAGCAGCAGGTTGCTACCCAATTGTAGCAATACTGAATTTTTAATTGAATTTTTTGAAACTGTGGTATGAATGACTGCAAAGTGCAGTCGAACAAGGACTGCAAAGATAATATAGTATGTGTGAATAATATGAGCAGTGAGTGTGGAAGTACACACATTTGATATTAAATCAAATAAAAAACTGATTTAAATTAAAAATAAAGTAATGAAATTAAAGCTGATATTTTTGTATGGGGACTTTGAATTCGAGTATTAAAGCTGGTGAAGAAATGAGTTAAGGATGAGGAAAAGATTTACTGGTAAGCACCGAGAATTTAAAGTAATCCCGAGATACTCCTCGAATTAGTTTTAGGGACTGTTCTATAGATTTGAGTAAAAAGTCGTCTTAGAATAAATTCCGAAGCTTTAAAAATTACCCCTAGGAAGTACTCGTATACGTATACGAATTCCAAAATAGTCCAATATCACGGACAGAAAAATTTACGGATATCCAGATTTTATGCATTGACATACGCATCATAAAATAGAAGGAATATTAACCGGCTATCCGGATTTATCCGTATACACGAATATACGAACGCATAACCGGATATTCGAATACATGTATAGTCTCAGCGTAGGACGTAATGGATTTTCGAATAAGGCGAACTTTTCCACAGAATTATATTCAATATTCTCTGATTAAAGAAATACACACGCACACATACACACAACTATTCTTATCTGAATACGCTATGCATATATACATATATGCGTCTAAGTACATTCAATATTCACAGCGTTTACTATTCACTCACCTGCCGGCTGTATGTGATACCAGCAGGGCTCACTGTGCCCCATCTCATTGCTGGCCATGCACGAGATTGCGCCAAAGCTGTCGTACGAATCTATGTGATAGCTGTAGACGTTATTGAGTGGTGGCGCCGTTGGCGGCTGTGTAGTCATTGCCCCTGCGCCCATTAGGCGGTGGTGTTGTTTCTTATGCTGCGCTGCCGTTAGCCGTTTGCGCTCGGCCAATTGAAATTGATTGCCATGCGGGAGCACTTCATGGGCAGCGCCTGCCACAATACCGCCACCGGCCATGCGGCCTTGTTGCTGATATTGATGCGCTAACATATGCTGTTGTTGTTGTTGTTGTTGTTGCCGGTTATCTAAATGATTTTTATGAATCATATTTGAATATACCATTTGTGTGTGCGGTCCATGCGCTGCATGCTGTTCTTCATACAACAACTGTTCCTCCTCCTGCTCTACTAAGTCGCGTTCATCCTCATCGTTCTCGCTGTCGTTGTTTTCCATCAACTCGCCATCATCATACTCATCGACATATTGAGTGGGCGGTATTGGTTCGTCGGCATCTTCGAAGCGTATGTTGGACGACCATCGGCCGTCCAAAACGCTGCTGGCAGCCGCAACACGTCCATGCCGACCAAGCAGAAATTTTTGTGCATGACCATGCTTCCGCTTGCCTCGCTGATAAAATCCGGCGGATGTGTGACCTCCAGCAGCTACAGCCGCAGCAGCTGCGCTATCCGGATACAGCAGTAGCGGCATAGTGGCCGGTGCTGTCGCCTGCGCTGCGGGCAATTCGATGAGCCTCTCCAGTGAGTTGTTGAAATGCCATCTGTAATTTAGATTATCAAGTGGATTCGAGTCCACTTGGCACGTAATATTGATGGTCTGTTTGAGTGCGGCGCGTATGGTGGTCGACTCAGCTTGGCATACGGGCGGGTCTGTGGGCAAAATATGTAAATCGTTAGAAATGCGTGTAAGTAGATGGCGGGCGACTGAGCAGATGCATAAATTAGATATGTATAGACTGTGCGCCTATTTAATTGAATATTAAATAACTATGTGTAGCTTTAGGGTATAGGCGGATGTAAAACATAAAATAATGCGTGATTTGGCGGATAAGCTGAAAATGATAGCAATGCTTTGGAATTTTGTAAACTATTGCTGATGAGGATGGAGGAGGGAAACAGCGGGAGGCACCATCAATGAGAGCGTCACAATATCTTACAAATTTGATATATATATTTTTTTGTAATTTTCCTTTACTTACATTTAACATCGAGGTACACTTCATTGCTGGACACACTGCCCTGTAAGTTGGTGGCACGACAGAAATATTGACCATGCGAAATTTTCGAGATGCCTTGCAGCACCAGCGTTTGATTGGAAATAATGACGCCGCGGGAGAGATGGAGTTGTTTGTCCTGAAATGTGAAAATTGAGATATTTTTAAAAGTTACTTAATTTGAATGCAGTTATTTAAAAATGCGGTTTTTGATTTGAAAACTTAATAAATTTTTTTGTAATTCAAAACTTATGCAAAAAATAAAAAATAACAAAAAAATTAAAAAAAAAAAAATTGTTCAAGCAACGATTTTTTTAGCCGTCGATCTGATTGTATTCTTAATGAGGCATTGTAAAAATCGATAATTCGCTTTACTGACACTTTTACTGCAATGTACAATACATGCATTCAAGAAGGAAATTTTCCTACTAAATAAATGGAAAGTGCAGAGTGCGTTGACCGACCCGTCTTATTTTCGAAGTCTCTGCATGCTTGATTTTGTGAGAGAGATCCTTGAGCGTATTATAGACAACGGTATAAATAAATTCCTTGAAGATTCAAGTGACCTATCACAAAATAAATTCATTTTGCGAAAGAGAGGGTCATATTGGCACAAAAAAAACTACATAAAAAATGGCGCAGAACGGTACAAAGCCAAACGTGAGCTAGGGATCAATTTGATAGCACTGGAAGAATTACTACCCTAAATATTGAAAGATAAAAATGCCAGGAAAGCAGCTATGCCAAATTGTCGAAAGGCAGTGAGAGCAAGTAGCTATGGGTGCTGGACAAACCGCTTAGTGCGAAATATGGAAGCGTGGATAAACCACGCTCACGGAGAGTTTCATATAACTCAGATGCTTATAGGTCGAGGTTTTTTCAAAGCTTTTACTTAAGAAAACCGTCTCCCGACGAAATACTAACCGGTAGTACCGGCGAGAATAGGTACAGGGCGATAGGAGTTTTAGTATCGAAAGCGTACTTCCTCCTTATTTTCGTTTATCCAAAATAAAATGATCTACTTAATGCGGTATGGGAGTAATAAAGCGAAATATGAAAACAACAAAAATAAGCTTTTAAGTACAAACTTAAAAACGTCCTTCCTAAATCAAAATTTCGTTTTTCTCTTGTTTTAGTTACATATCTGTCACATTTGTATCCTTACTGAAGCGAAAAAATATCCTTCCCTTACATAAATCCCTAAAGTTCCACTTGAAACTTTCAAAATAAGCTCCATACAATCGCCATAGAATTATTGTTGGATTGTAGAAAATGGCAAAAAATAGCATAACCAATTGCAGACAAAGGACATTGTTCCCCGCTGTAAATTCAACCCTTTTCAAACTATCCATCAGCTACTCAAGCCAACACCTGTCATTTAGTGGTTGCTTAGGGCCAACGACTATGGACGAAGAGAGATGACAAAAAGGCAGCAAGAAAAAAGTTATCTCCAACTAACAACAACAATGACCACGCTTAATGTGTTAGGGGCGACACACAGTGAGGGCGGCTCTGAGCTGGAAAGCTAAATCCTATTTATAGCCACAAAACAAATTGCTTTTCATTTAATTTCTTCGAATTAGCATCACAATGTCTACTGCAATAGATATATAAATATGCATATGTGGCATTCCAGCCCAAATCGGTCACAATTTGGCTTGTGCCTCCCGGATTTTTTTTTTTATAATTATTTATGTTATAGTACCAATTAAGAAGGGCCTTACTGATTTTTAACTTTTTTTTGTCGAGCCATTTTTGGGATATTTTTGAGAAAAAAAAAAACATTTCTTACTTTTAAATGGCCATAACTTTTGGGGGCCCATTGAATTATGCATTTTCCAAACTTTTGTGTAATATACAATCGAAAAAATTTTAATTTTTTTTTCTAAATAGAACTTTAAAATTTTGAATATGTTGATTTCCAAAAAACACGTACTGATCGATTTTCTAAGAACAATCTCTTACAACACTGTCCGCCATTATGCAACTCTTAAGCCAAGTCCGATAACATAGGTTTACAAAAAAAAAATTTCTGCATATTGAACCAAACACTCTATATCGCTATGTTATTCGACGCGCTGAATACGAATCCGAGCACTGTTAGCCCCCATCACGTCAGGTACGAGGTCATGTGAGGGTCAAA